GCACGACTCTTGCTGAAACTTTTCGCGACTATGCGGTTCTTTTGCAGAAACTTATCGCGATCTCGGATACACATCCTCTGTAAGTACAAGCGTGATGTTTCATCACATACAGCAAACGTTTCCTTACGGTAAAACTCATAGACGAGCAATACGATATCAGTCTATCTCACGTATATTTTGACATCTAATTCCAGTCTCATGGAAACCAGAATGATCTGAGGAAGCTATTTTCGATCGGATAAATCTAAGGAGATGTCTTTGGAGAGATTCAAATCTTGAAAGCAGCGATGCGAAGGACGCATTCCTCTTAAAACACTGTAGACAATTTCTGTTTCTGGAAAAACTGTCAAACGAGCAAAGATAGGGTGGAACTAGGAGGAGAAAAAATCTGGCGCGACTATGCACGACTCTTGCTGAAACTTATCGCGACTACGCACTTTTTGTTTGAAGATAAATAAGATGTGTCGAACGGTCTGCTGATCTGATGCAATCAGTGGCGTGAGCCCCCTCGAAGTGATAGATAGTGATCGAGAGGAATTCAATTTATTCTTTGAAAAGAAGTGATGTTTATTCGATCGATAACGCGTGATTCTCTACACTAATAAATTTTCTAGAAGAATTCATTTCAATCTCGACTGTCATCTATCTGGATTTGCTGAGAATGGCCTCGAAATACGTTGATGGCTATGAGTCAAAACACACTCGACGCTTTTTGGATATTGATGCAGAGCCTTTGAGAATGTTGATGCCCATCGAAGGATATGAGAAGATGCCTCTCGTCTCACTCGAAGAAGCTGTCAATCCTCTTCGTCCTTTCTTGCCGGATATTCAACGAAAAGTGTGGGTGGCAAAACAGAATTGTGGAAATCCTTCGGATGGTCTCTCGTCCGATGAATCAGCATCGATTTGTCTCTATACGATGGAATGGGAACCTCACGAAGAATGTCTCTACATTATTCTCAACGCCAATTTGCGTGATAAAAATCGAAAAAAACTCAAACCATGGCTTCTCTATCTGAAACTATTTCTTACTGCTCTTGCTCGTCTTCCATCGGCTCGTCGTTTTGTCTATCGTGGAATTAGACGTGACATGCGAAAGGACTATGTGAAAGGACAAACAGTCATCTGGTGGGGATTCAGTTCGTGTACATCGACAATGGATGTCCTGGAAAATGAACAATTTTTGGGTTCGACAGGCACGAGAACTCTGTTCACTATCGAATGTGATAGTGGGAAAGACATTCAACATCATTCACTGTTCGCCGAAGAAAACGAAATTCTCCTTCCGGCTGCACGACAATTCAAAGTCACTTCGTGTCTCAATCAAGGCGAAGATCTTTATCTCATACAACTCAAAGAAATCGATCCACCATTTCCACTTATTGAGCTTGTGCCGACCAATATGAAAGGTAGGATTACAAGAACTCTCTTCTTTCAAGTTCTTATATCCAACTGAGTATCGCATGTGCATCTTAGTGATTTCTGTTTTACTCAGCGGGTAACCCAGGTAAACAAGGATATCTGAAACCCCAGAACTTTCTTCAGAAAAGAGATGGCATTCATGCTCTTCGTAAACCTTCTTTTTCTTTCCGTCTCACAATCATCATACACGACTAACATTTCCAAGACTAATGTCTCGCATACGTTCATCACTATCGAGTTCAGATTTTCACCATTCAGAGGTAAGCAAGTAACACAGTAAGCACACAAAAAGGTCTCAGAGAGAGCGGCAAGATTTTGTTATTAGCGACTTTTATCCTAAACTAGAAAAATAACCATAGACATCAATATATATGATAATTTCATACGATCATAGAAGACATCTACTTTAGGAAAGAACAAGGAAAAGAGAAAGATAAACATACTATTGTTCTTCTGAAAAACGTTTTGAAGTACAAATATACTCTATAACTGCATGATATATGCATAAAAAATCTTCTTTCGAAAGTGTTACATTTAACAGAAGTAGGTCAAGACTGAGGGTAAGAGTGTTTGTTATCGTTGAGATTTTTTTTATGAGAATTTTTCTTTGAGCGCGATATAGCACACAATCCAAAAGATAATGCTGAAAAGTCTCTACCTCTCCACATTTGCATGAACTTGTCAATGCCAACGATTTTTTGCGTAAATCAGCTTTCAAAACAGAAAAGTTATCCCGGAGTCTACTGTATAACAGGTCGATAGCTCTCGGGATGTTATGAACACGAAATATAGAGAAAGACCATCCGTAGTGGATGACAAGCTGCTTTTGGAAAGCTTTTGAAGACGTGATATTTATGTGTTGGGGTAATTTTGACCAGACCTGGGTTGTAGATGGGAAGAAAGATCTATCCCCTGTCACTGAGTCGAAAGAAAAGCACTTAAACATTGCATATCTTCGTAAATTGTATTGAACGGTCACCCTACTTTGAATACAGGAAGTGAGATACGCAGGTGCTTCGCCTCTAATTATTTTGCGAAACAGAGTTAACTTATGGATTTCATAGAGTTCCTGAATGTCAGGCCATCCCAAGATTTTAAAACTTTCTTCCTGTTGGGCAAATGGAATGCACCAGAAACTAGGATAGCCGCTCGGTACTGCAACCGTGAAATGGACGTCAACGATGACTTCGGCGCGCATGAGTAGATAACATCTGCGTAACTCAAAATAGTCAGAATGTATGATTTGTATATTTGGTCAAGAACAGGTGTATAGAAAGTATACTTGAACCTCATCATCATACCCAGAATAGAATTACATTTAGAAACAACATAGGAAATATGACATTTCCAGGATAACGATGAGGTAAAGTATACTCCTAAATGTTTGTGTTCCTCAACGCGCTGAAGAACACGATTAGATATTCTCAGTTTTCCCTGGAATGGCTTTTTTGAAAAGCACATTGAGACACACTTTATTAAGTTTAATGGTAACTGCCATCGCAGAGACCACTGATACACCATATCAAGATCATTGTTCAAAATCGCGGTGACTTTTTTGTAGTTTTCATCGCTACAATATAACGTAGTCACAATGTAACGTGTCATCAGCAAAAATGTGAGTCTTAGAAGTCAGGTCGTGTCCAATGTCATCAATGTAAATGAGGAACAATAGCGGACCTAGTGTACTCCCCTGCGGTAAGCCGCAGTTAATACAGATCGGTTTTGATTGTTTACCTCCCGCTACTGTTGTGATATGTCGATTTAGTAAGTAATCCTAAAACCACGCAACTAGTTGAGGACAAACACCTTTCTTTCTTATTTTGCACAATAATACCATGCTGATTTTCGTGGTAATATGGCGAAAAGTCAGTTTTATGAAAATTAGGGTTTTCAGGCGGTTTTCACCTAATATTAAAAAATTCACTATTCACTCAAAAAGCATCAGAACGAGTTCAAAACTTAATAATGTAGAGTATTTAAGCTATTCTATATCCAGTTGATAGGAGATCTCGAAAGAAATTTTACAAAACCCTAAGGTTTTCCAAAAGGGTGTCTGGCAAATCTATTAACAAAAATATACTTTTTGATTTTTTCGATCTTATAATCACGTTTAGTGGACAATATTAATCATTTCCGGAGGGATTTCAGCTTGTTCTGATGTTTTTTGAGTGAATAGTGAATTTTTTAATATTAGGTGAAAACGGCCTGAAAACCCGAATTTTCATAAAACTGATTTTTCACTAGATTTTTAAACTTTTTTCTAAACATAAATATTGCCACGAAACTCAGCATGGTCGATTACCCATAGTGCATCCGTCTTTAAGGCTACCAGTAGTCACCGGGTGCCAGTCCTGGGACTCATATAAAATCCGATAGAACGCCCGAACTGCGGAAAATCAAGGTCTGGCTTTACTCCTACTTTGAAGAGGACACCTCGAGCTGAGAAAAAAGAAATGCAATCCTATTGGAAAATTTTAACAGATGGTCAAGTTTTCCAAAGATCTTCTAGAAAACCTGTTTCAGAAAACTCTTCTGAAAACAATGCTGGTTATGAAAACATGTCTTCAAGTCTCCTCTTTTGAATGGCGAAAAGCGGAGCTCTCTAGCTCTTTCCTATCAAAAGTTATTCAAAATCTAGTCAGGGAAGCTGTTTTTTGGCGTCGATAATAATTAATTTCCCATGAAAGTATCACAATAGATCATTGGCTATCAAACAATGCGAGAATGACATTTCTACGATTATTTTTAACCGAGTTACAAGCTTTGCAAAATGGAAACTAGCGACCCAAATTCTAATTAAAATTTAAACTTAATTAATTAATAACTCTGCTAATACTTATCAGTTCATCGAAAGAACTTAAGGGTATATGTAGTCAGGTGTCCTCTTTAAACTGACAAAGTTTGAAGGTACAGATATGGGAGCGGACCCCCACCCCTTAAATCAAAATCTACGTATTTTAACGACTTTTAAGTAGTCGGTATTGTCGCTCGCAGTAATCTCGTTTTCTATTTTAGCAACCTCGTATTTCTCGTTTTTTGTATTCGAGGCAATGTCGTTCTCTGTTTTCGCGGTAATGCGTTCGCGGTATTGTTGTTCGCAGTAATTTCGCTTTCTATTTTCATGCTAATGTCCTTCGGGCTAACGACGCTCACTGTTCTCCCGGTAATGTCGTTTGCGGTATTGCTGTTCGCAGTAATGTCGCTTTCTATTTCCTATCGCGGAGTAATGTAGCTTTCCATTTTCATGGTACTGTCGTTCGCGGTATTGCTGTTCGCGGTAATGTCATTCTTTGTATACTGCGAACACAAAAACCCACATTACTGCGAACGATAGTACCGCAAAAACAGAAAACGAGATTACTGCCAATACAAAAAACGGCATTATCAAGAACAAGAATACCGAAGTGATAATACGCCGAACGACATTATCGTGAAAATAGAAAGCTACATTACTGCGAACAACCATACAGCGAAAACAGAAACTTTCTGTTTTCGCGGTAATGTCGCCTTTTGAATTCGCGATAATGTCGCTCGCGATAATGTCGGTTTTTGTATTCGTAGTAATCTCGTTTTCTATTTTCGCGGTACTATCGTTGTGCGTTTTGTGTTTGCAGTATACACAGAACGACATTACCACGCACAGCAATACGGCGAACGACAGTACCGGGAATGGAAAAAACGCCGAACGACATTTTTGCATTCAGGATAGTGTCGTTCGCGGTACTGTCGTGTTTTGTATTCGCAGTAATCTCGTTTGCTGTTTTCGCGGTACTGTCGTTCGTACTAATGTCCTTTTTAGCATTCGCGCTAATGGCGTTTTTTGCATTCGCGGTAATGTCCTTCTGGATAATGGCGTTTTTGTTCGAAATACACGAGATGGAATTTTTGAAAGTGGGAAGTGAAAAGGGAAGCATTTCCGATCGTTTGCACTGAGAATCATATTGGACTATTTTCTAGCAGAAACCGTTTCCCCTTCTTTGTCACCTTTTTCACGTATCGAACTAAAGATTTGCAACGCGTTATTGCTTCGAGTATCTTAGGTCATGCTACCTAAAACGTGAGTACTGTTATGTAGAAGAAACCTCCCACATGTTTCACATTCACATCGTTCGTTTCGCCGCTTCTATATTTATATCATCATCATCCTACTTTCATTCATTCCTGTTACCATCATCCTCCTTTCATTCCTTAAAGCTTGAACGTATCTATAATATGGCATTTCGGTTCTTTTCTTCTCGTATATACACGACTGTGTTTTATGTGTTAGTGTGTGCTTTCTGATTTCTCCATAAACCATCCATACATACCATTTAAGATTAGATGAAGCATAGCAGATTATTTCTTTGGCTGCAGCGGGCAATTGTTCAATAGTTGTGGACGTGTAATCTGACATATCGGCCTTATCTTGATCGTCAGTGAAGTTTTCGTCGTTACTATGTGGCTCATCAGTCATATCCGGGTCATCTCCGATCAAATCAGATGATGGGAGAGCAGTGGTTGTTGTGACTGTCTTCAGGATTTTGGATGATGTAACCTCGGTCCGATCGATAGCTTTTTTGGGCAATGGAACAACTATTCTACTTTTTTCCTTTCTTTCTCTAATTGTAGTTGATTTATGTGGTCGGCGCTCTTCTTTTGGTCTTTGAACTCTGCGCAGAATAGATCGACCAGATCGTGATAGTCTGTCTATTCATTCAATCGTTGTTATCGTTACTTATGTCTTTTTTGACGGATATGCACACCACACAAGTTGATTTTCAGTGGTTTTTCAGCGGATTCAGGTAGGTAGGATATTCTAATCTATCGCATTGTTCATCGAGCACATAGAACACGCACTGTATTCCTAGCTCGTCGTCTGCGTGATATCCGTTTGGTTGCATCTTTCTTTCGTCTTTTTCACTCGATCTATCTATACTAGTGCGTTTGTTTGGTAGCCAGAAACAATGAATCATCACAACATTCTGGTGAACGAACTTCTTTCCTCTTTCTATTAGCTTGCTTCGCGTTGATGATTCGATCTCATTCCAAAAGTGTTCTTCTTTTTATCTCTCTCTAAGAAAACTTGACATTTTGCTAAAAAATGAGAGTGCTGTGTTGGTTGAATTTTAAAATTTTCAATTGTCTATCATCCTTAAAATATCAGAGCCGGCAAACTTTCGTAAAAATGCTCGAAACACAGAGTAACTGTATAAAAGGAAAATTGTGTGACAACGGCGATAAAAATAAGGAGAAATTCGTTCGGAGAATAGAGTCGAAAGAGGCAGGCAATCAAAAACAATTGACAGATTTTCTACAACGACAACGGAGAACTTGTGCAGGGAATTCGCAATGAAAAACCAGAGAAGTCCATCAATAATTCTCTCTTTTCTCTTGCAGTCATCATCCCGAATATTTCAAAGGATGCCAGATGGTCACAGCATGGGGTCACCGTCGCGGGCCACGGAAGAAGCGATGGAACTCACCAGCTCGTCGCTCCTCATGGTCTCTATGTGGCTGACGATGACACTGTCTACATCGCTGACACATTCAATCATCGTATTGTGGAATGGAAGTCTGGTGTAACGAGTGTTCAAGTGGTGGCTGGTGGCAATGGAGAAGGAAATCGGGCTGATCAGTTGAGTCGTCCAGTCGATGTGATTGTCGATAAAGAGACAGATAGTCTCATCATCTGCGATGAGGGGAACCGACGAGTGATGCGATGGGCTCGTCGAAGTCCAACAAGTGGAGAAATCATCATCGAAAATATCGACTGTCGCGGATTGACGATGGATGATCAGAGATTTCTCTATGTCTCTGATTGGAAAAGTAATGAAGTCAGACGATATCGAGTGGGAGAGACGAATGGAACAGTGGTCGCAGGTGGCAATGGAAAAGGTGATCGTCTCAATCAACTGAACCATCATCCGACATATGTCTTTGTCGATCAAGATTATTCTGTCTACGTCTCCGACAACGAAAATCACCGTGTGATGAAGTGGGTCAAGGGTGCGAAAGAAGGGATTGTCGTGGCTGGTGGTCAAGGGAAAGGAGATGCTCTGACACAATTGTCGTTTCCTCGAGGAGTGTTCGTCGATCTGTTAGGCACAGTCTATGTAGCAGATTACGGAAATCATCAAGTGGTGCGCTGGTGCAACGGAGAAACACAGGGAAAGGTGATTGTGGGTGGAAATGGTCGGGGAGACAAAGCAAATCAGTTCTATCATCTCGAAGGTTTGTTTTTCGATCGACATGGTAATCTGTATGTCGCCGACTGGGGAAATAATCGAGTTCAACGATTCTCAATCGAATGAACATTTTCTTTCTCTCCCTTCTGTTTTTTTGTGCTTCCGTTGAAATTCGATCGATAAACTGGATGACACACATGTATAGGTTACATACGCGTGCGCGCGCGAGAACGGGGAACTGTCCCTAGTGATGGTCGTAGCGGCCTGCTGGTCGTGCACGAACAGACCAAGCCCACACGATGACGAACAAACATATGTGCATGCGTGTGGACCAAATGGGCCCGCCGTGTGCTACATAGATGGAACCGGCCAGGGTTTTTGACGACCGGTACCGATCTGACTCGGTCAGACCGGTCGGTCTAAAGCCTGTAAATTATCCATTTATGCCGTGATTTTGTCAGGATTAGCCTCTAATATAGTGTAATGTAATAGACACATTGAAGAAGTCTTCAATAATAGAAGTCGGAACGGAAACAAGTGCTACGTAATAGATAGGTAGACCGGCGACCGGCCGGTATACCAACGTCGATCGGTATAGTAGCAGACGGACGGTCTGAAATGCTTTCCGGGTACCGGACCGGCCGGTCGACGGTACCGATTCCATCTATGGTGTGCTACGTACAGTGGGCATTTTTTGCTAGAGTAGGCGAACTTTAGCTGTATGAGTGAATTAAAATTTCCTGAACCATTTTTTATAGGTTTTTCACGATCTTCTTTCTGATGGCATGAGAGTTAGGTTTTGAAAAAGTTTTCTAAGGAGTTTCCAGAGATCCGGTCTCTGAAAAACCCTTCAGAACGCTTTCTCAATATTCCAAAACGGTGCCACTGGAAAGAACATCGTCGAAAACCTATAAGAAACATGTTTTGAGCCGTTTAGGTTATTTTATCTTGAAATTCAAATTTTCAGCAGGAAATTGTTTGTGTGAATGTCAAAAAAAGGTCGTTTTGTCTTTCTGTCTTGGAAAATTTCTAGAATTCAAAACCGAAGCCAGAAGAATTATACACCATTCGATGCAGTTTTTCACGCTGATTCTTAATACGTATATTTTATATAGCTAACAATACAAAGTTGGGATCAATTCGTCCCAAGTTGGGATCCAGTTTTTGTATCAAGTCTCAGCATCCAATAGGCGGACATTATCAATAGAAAAGAAAGACAATCGATCAACGACTATCTGCAATTCCGAGTCATATACAGTTTTCGTTGGATGAGAAATGCCTTCAAAATATCGCATACAAAATGTCCATCAAGAACTCACCTGATTGGTCTTTTGCTGATCAATCGAATTAACATCGTGTATGCGTCGAAGGTTTCTCTTTCTAGTGGTGAAAACCACAGGTCTCTCTCTATCTTGTTCCTATCAAAAGTTATTAAAAAAATTACCACTGCTCTTATATTTTGAAATGGACAATAGATGTATTTGTCAAAATAACAGCAACGAGTTGTTCGATTTCAATCTGAACAATAGATTTTGATTTGTTGCACTTCAGTGACCAACGCCTGATTACAAAGCAAGAATGTCGACATGTGAATCGATTGGGCCCAGCTTTAATTTGGATACATTAAGTCGAATCGAGATCATGCTTCTCCGAGAATGAAATCTCGGAGAAGCATGGTCCATTTCAAACTATAAGAGCGGTGGTAATTTTTTTAATAACTATTGATAGGAACAAGATAGAGACCTGCGGTTTTCACCACTAGAAAGAGAAACCTTCGGCGCATAAAACAATGTTAATTCGATTCGTCAGCAAAAGACCAACCACGTGAGTTCTTGATGGGCATTTTGTAAGCGATATTTTGAAAGCATTTCTCATCCAGCGAAAATTGTTCTCTTTTGATCTGCGCAAAGCGAACATCTTTACCTTCTTCCGCTCGAGAGCTATAAGGGCTTTTCTGAGAGGCCTGATTTCGGTCCATTGAGCTTGGATCAACCTAGGCATGCATATATTGGGTCGCAATAACATTGGTCACCCAATCTATTAGGACCAATAATAGTGGTCACCCGATCTATTGGATTTGTACAATACTATTGGGTATTGCATGGTTTGAGTTAAGCCTATTTTTATGAATGGAAATATTAATGTTAAAAAGTCGAGTACGAAGCATGCTAATGCATAACTTGGACTATGGGTCGGGTACATTGCATCCAAAGTCCACTTTCTTCCAGTTTTTTAACATTTGTTTCTAGTCCTTTTTACAACCGCAAGAGTTCTAAAAACTGCACTTGCGTAGCACATTTCTCAAGTTTCTTCATTAGTGCTTTCTTGTATAAGAAAGTGGGAAGAAAAGTGTGGGTGAGGTGTATTTTAGTGACTACTTTTAGATGCCTGACTGTTATATAAAATGTTCTTTTTTATATCCATTTCGTTTAAGCCATGTTCAACTATTATCGTATAGAGCATCCATCGATTAAAATGTATTCTGGATAAAGTGTAGAGCACTATCGCTAAATGGATTAAAATATCATACTTAAGAAAAGTTTGCGACATCGTCGCGTAAATTCGATGTAATCTTCGTTCTGCCGCGAATGAACCTATATTTCTCGTTTTATTTTCGATGCAAAGTGCTAACAAATATTAAGATTCCTTTTTTATGCTTGGAAACACATGTTACCTCTAGTTCGATCGTAGTTTCGATTTGAAAGTTGCATTTATCTCTCTCAAAACATTTTGAAATTAGTTGTGAATTAAACTTTGTTGTCCAAGAGTTAATCACATGTCTTGCTCGTTATGCAGAGGCGGTGGAGCTATAGGGACGTTGGCCAACTTTGTTGGCTTATATTTGTTAGTCGTCTTGGAATTCTGAGTTACCCCAGGACAAGTAGAGATGCCCGCATGTCTCGAGTATAAAATAGACTAGATCAATTCCCGATTGGCCTCATCCAATCGAGAATGCCAAGGTAGTCTGGGCCAATTTAGAATCAGACTGCGGCATATTAGGATTGTTCAATACAACATGAATTTTTCAATAATAATTATAGAAATGAATATCGATATCTAGTTGTGAATTAAACTTTGTTGTCCAAGGGTGTGATTGAAACTATTAAATTGGATATTTCTACAAATTTTTATATCCGGACGTTATGTCGCGCTTTGCGGCGTATTGAATCGATAGTTTAAAAAGGTTTAGTCTAGCGATTTAATTCGCTTCGAAACTGCAAATAAACATCACCAATCGACTCAGCATGGTCAATTACCTATATTTCAAGGTTTTTTGGAGTGGCTCATGGTCAGCTGGTCGTAATCGGAGCTCTCAAGAAAATGCCTATGGTTCCTGAACAGCACATGCCAAAGAGCTGGGCCTTGTGTAGATCGATAGAGAACAATTTTCTCTATCGAATGGTCGTATTAGAATTTCAAATCCAACGGGGAATCTTTTCGCTAGGCAGTGGCCAATATATCAAGCGAAAATATCATCGCATTTCTTACACGCCACTCACTATTTTGTTTCAATATCGACTGAAGATAGTCTTGACATTTTTTCAATTGACGACAAAATCAAATAAGAGTGAAAGTCTAACTAGTGGTAAATTGGATATCAACACTAAGGGACTTTTTTTGAACATCAGAAGTATGTTCAGCGAATCAAGTGACAGCGCGCCAAATGTTTCGAAATTTGAACTTTTATATGAGTATGTACGAATGGAAAATCCTCTGTTTGTAGGAATAGTAGAGAGCTGGCTAAGTGACTCAGTGACAACAGATAAATAGTATATACCTGGATTTAAAGCTGAATAAAAAGCTGTTTTTCGACTATAGTATTAAGTTTTGACCCTTTAAAAACTGTTAAAAACCGTTCCAAAACCTTAAAAAAAAAAATTTTGCATAGGTTTTAGAGCATGCGCTTTCATTTGTACGAATGAAAAAAAATTTTTGATCAAAAAACGTTTTCATTGCGAAAACCCAGTTTTTCAAAAACCGGGATCTTTTGCCAAAGACGCATTGGCAAAAACCATCGTCATATTCGAACCAGCATGCTCGGTTACCAATTGTCCACTAAGTTTTAATCGAGTTTTTAACCCCGATTTGACAGTCGTGGGCCTTCCCTCGTTAGTCAAGTCTTTTAATAGAGCCGGGCGAAAAAACTTTTCTAGTGCCCTATGTATAGGGGACAAGGATGAATCATCATCAATCATTGGTATCATTGGTACCATTTGGAGTTGGTGTCGGTATATGAACATGTGTATCCGGCGTTTGGTGTGCTAGTGCAGACGCATATGTTCGCTTCACTTGACAGTGAGGGTCCTTGTGTGCCAAGTCATAGCATACTTGGCATTTTTATATTGTACACTCACGTTTTAAATGACCGGACTGTTTACAGCGGAAACAGACTCTTTCCAGTCCGTCAAGATGCACTGGAAAAGTTAAACCATACAGCTTAAAAGATATAGGCACCTTTTCTTCTTCCTTTTTGATGGAAAACGCATGCGTACACGTCTAACAAAAATTTTTATGGATTTGTATGGGGCAGGAAGGTTTTCACATTCAAGGCTAACAATCGTACCTCTCCATCGGCTGTCGATTTAACTTATTTCATCATCACTGATCGATGTGGGTACTTCCATTAACCGGATGATTTTCGTTTCTTGATACGGCAACTAAATTGAAAATCTCTGCAAACCGACTTTCAACTCTCCTTCTTGCAACAAGTTTTGTTGGGACGATGGTTCACCAAATCCGATAAACCATTCTCTTACGTAACCCAAATTGCCGATGGACTCAACTGTGTCTGATGAGCCGAGAATTTTACTCACTGCTTGCACTATGGCATAACCATATATTTTATCATCGCCATTTGTCAAAGTCAATGAAACAGATCCCTTGAAGTATGACGTGACATTTATTTCCGTCACAATTTTGTGAAAATTAAGACATAATAGAGTAAGACATGTCAGTACTAGTATGATGTCGCTAGATAAAAGATTAATTACGTGGAAAAGCAGTAGAATTTTATTCTACTTTAGCACAGTCAAAACTGTAAAACTAGCTTGCTAAAGCCTGTACTTGTACAGTCTATGCAGCTATTTGTCTATCGTTTTTGCTGCACGTAATGGTGAGAACCCATG